GCAATGCTTGCAACTTTTTTAATCTTTGCTTTATTTGAAACTAAAGAAAAAGAAATCCTTAAATGGAACCTCAGAAAATAGTTCTTTTGGAAACAACAGGACCACTGTGAGTTTTCTTCTGTTTATGTTCTATTTATAGAACATGCAAATGATGGGAGATTTTATATGGTTTGATTCCAGTGTATACGCAAATCGCAATGTTCCATCATCAGTATTTTTTCAATAAAAGTAGATAAATGTACTGAAGTGCTTTTTGGCATCTACACTGATTTGTGTATATTTATGCATCTTGAATTCAGAAAGATTATTTCAGCAGAGTTAAGTTAGTTATATTTTTGCATACGTTGATTGTAGAAGTTAGACTTCATTAGAATCACTTCCAGGGTAATCTGTAGATACACTCAGATATTAAATATATTGGCAGATGTTGCTTTCACATTTTATTTGACAAGTGCATTATACTGATCGATCGTTACTTTAATCTGCGAATTTGATTCTTGTGCTTGATAAAAATCTGTGCCTTTCATACTATTTTTCTATTTTTATGAATGAATAAATTTAACGGCATGGCTTAGAGATGTCAGGAAATGCAAACTGTTCGGATAATTTCAGGCTAGGGAAAATGTAAACCCACAGTACATTTTTACAACAGTTATCACGGGAGGCAAGTTGACGTGTTTAGACAGTGCAGTGCATATTCACTGTGATAATGAAGTAGCGGTTGTAACGTGATGCTTCTCGGTTATGAGAAGTGGTTGTGATACCCCGGTGTTTCATAAGAGTCAAGATTATTGGCTGCAAACGAAAATGCTCTTGGGGCCATTTTATTGTGAAATAATACCGTCCCCAGATGTTAAAATATAGTGCATTTATAAAATACAACATTCTTCCATGCAGTTACATGTATGAGTAGCATAGTTTGTTGAATTGGTTATTTAAAGATATCTACAAGGAGGCTATTTTTATGTTTGTTATAGACTGGACTTCATGACATCTCACTTGAGAAGAATTCCATGAATGTTACTTTTTGCTCACTCTGCCCCCACGCAGTGTGATGTAACGAAAATCCATCTACTTGCAAATTCATTTCCAAAGTATTTTTGACCTTTACTCGTATTCTCAAAATAATCCGAGATCAACAGAGAGAGAAGACTATTTTGCATCTTTCAACTATTTGACAATGTCATGTTGGGAATGTTAAAGTCAATAGACACACAGGACCTCTTAAGTGAATTCTGTAACTAATACCTACAGTTTACAAAGTTCCTCAAATTTGACAGTGAAATGTTTCCCATGAATTCCTTATGTACTTTCAAAGCATCAGAAAAAGGTTATTGTTGGCTTACTTGATTGGATCACTTTTCTGTTTATATCCCCAGCAGTAATGTATGCATCCACATTTTTAAATGTCCAGTACCAAAACAGTCATGCCGTCCAGAACAGTGACCGTCCCGTCAACACCGTCCATTTCAAATATTCCAAATTTCTTTTGTAAATAAAACATAATCGGATTACAGAATACAAGTGCACAGCCCTTTGCTGCTTATTGTAAGGATGGTTTATACTTCATGTAATACTTCAAGCATGTGTGTGACGTCACAAAATATTTGCAGTGAACTTTGCTCGGGTTGAAATGTTTTCAACCTTTGCATAATTTGCAGTTAGAATATTTGATCGGATGTCTTGTATTCACATGCATGTTTGCGTTTGTGTCAAGTATGAACCTGCCTTCAGGTTGTGTGAAAATTCTTGTTTCAGCCTTCGTTTTTCAAAAAGGGACTAAAAATGCACCAAAATGGTTACAAACAAATTTTAAATTGTACGCATTAGGCTTTGTTTCACTGAAAGAGTACATTTTTATCTGACAGGGATGAGTTTGGAATTACAAAATTGGGTCAGTAACAGCAAAGTGATCGCTTTGTTCTTCACCCAAAGTGAAAACGTGAAAAGTAAAGTGAAATTAGTCAAAGCTGTTCCTCTGAGACTAAGAATATCCATATTGTGGGGTTGAAATAGAAAAGAGTATTAAAACTTGGCAAAGGTAAAAAAAATGCATTAGAAACCTTGGGTTAAATTGAATAGTAGGAATACATTATATTCACACCTTCCTTCAGACGTTGCAGGAAAACACTTATTACATTGAAGTCACCTGTCACTAATCTGGTAATTTCCACATTCTCTGTACAATTAAAAGGAAACAAAACAAAGAATCCACTTCATAATCACATGACTCCAGTAGAAAATACTTCCTCACATGAAACTTACTCATGATTACATCTGAAGCTCTTACAAGCCCATTAAAACAATTCACCAACTCTTTTAAACTACTTTCTCATTATGTTGCATTTTCTGCCTACTTCTATGTACACACTGACCACACATCTTTATATACACACAGCTGTGTTGGGTTACTAATTGGACCATTTTGTACCTCTAACAGGACCATTTGAAGCAAGATATGGGACAGAGAAATCCCGCCCCCCCCGCCTTTGTGTTGGTCATTGTTTGATCGGAATCTCAGGAATTCTGTACAGACTTCTGGGGGGGGATGTGTTAGGTAACAATAGCCTACAGTGTACATAGGGATTGGACAGGTAAGGGGGGACCCCTCCGTCCCATATCTTGCCTGGTATAAACAGGACAGGCCCTTCTGGGTTGGTCAAAATGTAATTGATCTGAAACTCGTCATTAAAATTCTGAGTTCACGTCTTTGAGGTTCTGGTGTAGATGACTCCAAGGCAATGAAAGGGAATTTTGGAGATGAGCAACATGTAACTTCAACCCAGTTCCTAAACCTCAGTCCAATGTTTGTAGTAAATTGGCCCTTACCCAGAGCTAAGTACAACAGTGCAATAATGCTATAGACAATATTAAGAATGCAATTGCAACTCATAGTTCAGGGGTGAGATTGGAGAAAAATGAAACATCCACAAAATAATCACCAGGCTGCAGGGCCAATTTGATAGCGCTGCTTAAGCACAAAATTTGCTTAAGCGTGATAAAACCTTGCTTGACAAATCAGGTAACCAGCCAAAACTCCACGTGATGTAATTGTTTTGGAATAGTGTTAACCTGATGCTTGGTTAAACATGACAATCACATAGATTTTGAGCTGGTAACCTTTGTTTTTTCAGCAAGGTTTTTCTGCGCTTAAAGCCTTGAGCAAATTTTGTGCATAAGCAGCTCTATGAAATTGGCCACAGCAGATGTTTTAACTACTTGCTGCTGGGTGGATTTTTCTTGAGTAAGACAAGATGCCGGCTCATTTTCAAGATTTTCCGTTTTCAAAATTCTTCAAAAATTCATCATTTCATTTAATGGCCATTTATACCAAAATGAAGGACTCTTTGGGTACTACTCTAAAGCTGAGAGGTAAAATTCATTGACTCCTGAATATTTCAGCCAGGCCTGCAGCCTTGGAAAAAGAGCCCAGATTGTGCAGTGTTACCTAAGATTCTTTTGTTCCTGAAACCGGCACATTCCACCGCTGACCCCTTTTCAAAAGGGGCCAGATTAGCATGCAGCAGTGCTGTGTGGCTCATCGCTGCGGTGGTGGAGAGCTTTTTTCCCCTTCGCTCTTTTGTCCCCGCTCGCTCTAAATGCCTCAAACCGTGGTATACTTTTTCAAAACAAGGCTTGATTATCTCCACTATTGAGAGCGAAAAAATGTCGGTAATGCCCAGCAGCTCAGTCTTTTGTGCTGAGCACGGTCTTTTGTTATAAGGTCCAGCTCTTTTGTCCCAGTTCCAGGCTCCCCGGCTCTGCATATAAAGCGTATGTATTCGAAAACGGGTCGCCCAGCAGGGAGTGGTTAAGGGCTCGCAGCAGTGTACGGTCAAATGGTATACATTTGGTGTCTTTGTATAAAGGTACTGCTTGTGTTCTGTATTGACTTTTATTTCATAAAAAATGCCTTAATCGTAAATTAAGGACTTTACGGAATTGAGAAAAAAAATGAAAAAATCCTGAAATCAAGAAAAACCCTGATAAATCTATCCCCTGTAGTCATCTGATGTTGGCCATCCACCACTTTGGCCCATGAGTAGATACTCTGAGCTTTACTCGTATGGGTGGCCAGAGAAATGTGGAGCCGAGTCTGAAGAGAATCTTGACTTTTTGGATAGAACCAGAACCAATTTAAAAAGTGCTACAGTCAATTTTAAGCCTAGTTCTTTCTACACCAGCCCTGTGCATCTCCCTATGCCCCTAATACTACGACACCTCAAATGGAACACACACAGGCAGTGATTGGTCGTTAATAAATAGGAAACTTCTGGAAAGATTGGTCATTGATCATAACACATCCTTCAAATTCCTTGCAGAATATAGTAAAATACGGAGAAACTGTTCGTTCAATTTACAAACAAATCAACTTGGACATTGTCTATTTGATATTCATTATCTGAGCTCTTGGGAAGTGCTTCACATTTTTACATGAAGGTCGAGTGCTTACTACGTCAATCTCGTTTCAGTGAATGTGGTATTCTTCCCAACTAGCAATGATAAATTGCCCTCAATCAAGCACATCATTAATAATTCAAGATGCATTACTTCATGCAATGGCCAGCTGGACAGAAAATTTCACCAACTTCAAATTTCTTGCATGGAATTACATGTAACTTGTCTGCAAAGCATGAAATTTATTGAATTCCTTGCGAGTTCTAACTTAGACAAAATGACTGAATGGAGCACATGGACTGTCCTGAAGAACACAGTCTGCCTGCTGTCCAGTATGTCTCATGCATGAAAGTGGTCATGAGTCAAATACTCAATTCTTGAATACAGAATGCATTGATCCTTCTGAAAGGTACTGCAGTTATACAAAAATGTCTGATTACTGAATGTTTGTACTCCTCTCTTATAACAGGACTGTTCTTGGATCAACATTCTCCTTCACCATCTCTAGGGGCAGAGTGTCTTGGCCATTCCCATGGTCTTTACCATAGCCATAACCATTATCATGGTCTTTACCATGGCCGTTGTCATGGTCTAGACCATGTCCATTGCCATGGTCTTTACCATTGCCAGTACCATTTCCATTGCTGTTACTGTTACTCTTCAAATCCCCAAAGACTTTCTTGTACTGCTCCAGTTCTCCTTTGATCAACTTCGAGTCATTTCTTGTCTTCAGTAGTTGCTGTGAGGAGATAGAAAAGATGGGAAAATCTTAGTACTTAACCATTAGGGTGCCCCACAGGACCTTTATAACGTGCTGGCCAATTTTCTTTTAATTTTTCTGCTAAGTTTCAAGTCCCTAGAAAGTACTTTGTGACCCCAGGCTCTGCTAATATTGAAACGGCCAGCTTCATTCTTATACAAGAACCGCTACTGCCACTGGCAATCTTGATGTTGGAACTAACACCAAGACAAACTTTATCTGCTCCGTAACCATACACTGCCAAGGCTAAATCTTCATGTAAAACTCACAGACATAAAGCATTTGAGCTGTTTTTGAGTGGAACACGAAGAGGTAGGGTCAAGAGATACCTCTTTGAGCTGTGAGTTCTCATTCTTGACCTGTTGGTGGTAGTGAATCTTCTGTTTCAGGTTCTGATGTCCAGCCAGCTTGGTGTTGATGGCAGTCAGCTCCTCGTTCCTCTCTTCAACTCGTTTCACCTCCTGAAGGAATGGAAAGTTTTTAAGAAACAGAAAATGCATCTCCAACTTCAATCAAATGTGAGGTGAATGAACCCAACAGGATTTATCAAACAAATTTCAAGGAGGAAGGCTTGAAATTTCGATCCTAGTATAATCTTTCTTCAGAGAAGAGAGACAAACTATTGCACCGTTTAGATGTGAACTTAAGCCCTGTTGACTTGTTGGAAAGTATTAAGTTTTCTTTGATTACGTCTGATGCTTGGTCTTGTGTATACGTTCACATGGCATGGAATGATCCTGAATCTCTCCATCCACCTAGTGATTTCAGTTGGTTGAGCTCTCTTGGCTTTTCTATGATTCCTGCTAATAAGTGGTGGCTGAAATATGATAAAAAAGGTTATTTAATGTATAATCAAGAAAAACAAGTTATTTGCTAACCCCAGTCAATTCCTGGGGTTTTTGGACATTTGAAAAGACCACAATGTCAACTCCACTGCAGTAAGAACCTTGTGCCAGGTTTGGCTCCTAAGTTATTGGACTTTGAAACCGGGAAAGATGTGATGTTGAGAATTTGAAAATCCAAATTCTTCTGCAATGAGACGTAAGTGCAGGTATCTGATCACCTACCCTCAGCAACTGCGTCTTCTCCTCTTGGAGTTGGCTGAGACAAGACTTGAGGGTCTCCTTCTCTTCAAAATGGCCACTCTCCAACGTCTTGATCCTGTCAGTCACATTTAGCCCCCCCCCAAAAAAATTCAAAAATCAGTTCCGTGCGACACTTTCTGAACGATTGCAAAAATTGTCCACATAGTTTGACAAACATTTAGGAAAGATGTTGGCTGACTACTGGAGTAGTTTACCTCTCTAGTTCTTCCAGGATCTGTTCGGAATTTTCCTCCATGAGTTCACTGTTGCACTGCAGCTGTGCTAGTCTGTAAAGACAACACACGTGACACCAAAAAAGTTAAGCTCGCAGCATAATCCACTCCTTCAAAATGAGTCCGCGCCATTTGTTTCAGTACCAATGTTGAATCTATTTGTATTTCTATTTGTACATTCATATCTTTAATAATTAATCAGTCAAATTTAGATTTGTGTTCATTCCTAGGATGTTAACCTATTACACTGAGTTTGAAGATCGTTGCTTAATTCTGACGTTCATCTATACCTTCAGTTACGGTGTATCTTTTTTTACTCTCTCTTTCTTGTCCACCTTGTAATTTTAGCCGCATATAGATATTATTGTGACAAATAAGAAACCGGGCCATGCATAAGCTTTTGCTTTCTGCATGGGTAACATTGACCAATGATAAATATAGCTAAGAACAGCTGAAAAAAAGGCATAGAGAAGCTGAACTGTGAAAATCTCCTGTACTTGGTACACAGCCAGTGAGGACAATTGGCTGAAATCCCAAACAAAAAAAGCCAAATCAGCTACAAAGCTGAGAAATCCTACCCCTGTTTCTGCCTGGTATCCACCATTCGTCACCCCTTTTGTCATTCTGTAAATATCTGTGCTTCATAATGTTCCTATTGTGATGTATGGAAATAAATAAACCAAACCAATCTGCATTGGAAAGAGCAAACCTGAGCTCTTGGTGGTTAATTTATCACTCAGTTTGGCGTGCTTATGAAAATTGGGTATTTTTATATAGGTGAAACAATGTAGGAGCGATTGGTGATCCAAAGGCCTTGAATTCAAAAGTGACTCTGGTGACCTACACCTCTCTGGTATGGATTCAGCACTATCCACTATGCTATCTGGAGCAAAGGTGAGATATGTCACTGTAAACTCATCAGACACCAACGGTTTGACAGCAGGATCATGTGGGTAAGACTTTGGAGTGTGGATCCCTCTCATTGTGTAAATGAGTACCAGCTTCTTTTCCTATTCATTTGGGTTCAGTGGCTACTCACTCCGTTTCGGCTTTCAGCCTAGCCTCCACTGCCTCGTCTTTAAGCTTGGTGACACTGTCAAATGCAAAATTGACCCGACTAACTTCTTCACGCAGTTCACGGTTGCTAAACTGCATCTCCATTTCCCTGGTGAAGGAAGACAGCCAACACCGTTACAATCAATAGTGTGGCACATACGAGTAGGATGCACCTCGTTTTCACAGGTTTTTACAGCAATGTGCTGCTTCTGGCTCACGTTGGGATGTGGTCAAAAACTAGCCAACATCAGGTGGCCAGTAGGTGTAAGTGCTCCCTTCCTTTCCACCATGTTGTATTCATAAACACACTGTGGAAAGGTCATCTCATCATAGGCAATGAAGGATTCACTGTGCGTGCACACTGGCTCGCATGTGTAAAAGGAGTGCAATCAATTTACAACTGAACTTGTACAAGCCCAGGTTTTAACACTTGAGTGCCAAAGGAATACACCTACATGTAAATATGGGTACAAGACAGAAAAAGCTTCCTTCAACGGAAGCATAGGGTGGTGCTCTTTGACCCCATGAGGACTGCATTACATAAAGTCTATGCTCTAGCAGGATGGTCTCCGGTTACGCCTGCATTTTGTGTGTAGAGCTACATGTAGGTCTAAGTCTTCGCTGGTTGCAGATACATGGGCATACATACATACATGTGAGGGCATGATGACAATAGGTTCCTCCCTCATGTACCAATAATGTATGGCGTTCACATGATACAATGTATGGCGTTCACATGACACAATGTATGGCGTTCACATGACGCAATGTATGGCGTTCACATGACGCAATGTATGGCGTTCACATGACGCAATGTATGGCGTTCACATGATACAGTATATGGCGTTCACATGATACAGTGTATGACATTCACATGATACAATGTATGGCATCATGTACTCTTTTAAAATCTACTATCTGTTCTTTTTTAAACAGTCAGCGTAATCAAAATTGTGTAAAGTGAAGATCAGTATGGGAACAACAAAACACACAAAATTGAAGAACTTCTTTGGAATCATGCTGCATGTGGTGATAATGCAAGCAAAATCAAGCCAGTTTTTAACATGCCAACTATTGACATATAATGATGTCAGCACCTGAAAATTGACAAAATTGGGTTTAGAATAATTCGGCTGGTTCGGGAAAGTTTTGGAAGTTCATTCCATTTGGTCATGTGACAATGACAGCTACTACACCTGTAGATTCTCCCTATATGGTCAGATTCTTTGGGACCAAGAAACCAAGCTAGCTGACAACAGACAACCACAGCTTGGGAGTCTCTTTCGGATGCCATCTTACTCACTTCTCTTTGGCCTTCTCCTCCCATTGTTCCACCTGGTATTGCAGCGTCTGACACTGGGTCATCAAGATCTCTTTCTCAACTTGCGCATGTTCTAGCTCTGCCACAGAATCCTGCACCACAAAACACAGGGTTAGAACCTGAAGTATATGCCAGGCCTCTCTATACCAGATGGTTCCCAGATGGTCAGAAGCTATTCAAGTGAACTGCAATTAAAGCACTCCTTTATAATTTTCACCCTGTTACTTAAGATTGGTCTTTTGACTGGTCTTGTGATTGGTTTTGTGACTGGTCTTGTGATTGGTCTTGTGGTTGGTCTTGTGACTGGTCTTGTGATTGGTTTTATGACTGTTCTTGTGATTGGTCTTGTGACTGGTCTTGTGATTGATTTTATGATTGGTCTTTCAACTGGTCTTTCAACTGGTCTTGTGATTGATTTTGTGACTGGTCTTGTGGTTGGTCTTGTGACTGGTTGTGG